TGCAGGGGAGCGCCCGTAGTGCCTCCGGGTAGGCCTGCCCCATCCCGCGGACCTGAGGCCATCAAGCAGGGACGGTCGTGGGCGAGAGATGGCCGTGTCGTGGGCGTGTCGTGGGCGTGTCGTGGGCGGTGTCGTGGACGTGTCGTGGGCGTGTCGTGGGCGTGTCGTGGGCGTGTCGTGGGCGGTGTCGTGGGCGGTGTCGTGGGCGGTGTCGTGGGCGTGTCGTGGACGTGTCGTGGGCGTGTCGTGGACGGTGTCGTGGGCGTGTCGTGGACGTGACATGGACGTGTCGTGGGCGTGTCGTGGAATCACCGGCTCGGCCGTCGTCGAAGACAGGCATGTGCGGCCGCCGCCCTCGAGCTGGAAGATGGAGCCGGGCAGCACGCCCGCGTCGCGGTAGATGTACGCGAAGCGGCGCAGGTACCTGTGGTGCACGGTTTCTTTTTTCGCAGCGCGATTTCTTTTTTGTGGGTAGATGTACGCGAAGCTGCGCAGGCACCTGTAGTGCACGCCGGAGAGGTGGGGAGAGGGGGGGGAGAGGGGGGGAGATGCGGGGAGATGGTGGAGACCACTCGAAGGATTGGCAGCGCAGCGACGCCAGCGCCCTAGAGGAGGGCTCCGGACATGTCAGGAAGCTTCCGGGACATGCTGTCGGAAGGCATACAAGTGGGCGTGTCGTGGGCGTGTTCGTGGACGTGTCGTGGGCGTGTCGTGGGCGTGTCGTGGGCGTGTCGTGGGCGTGTCGTGGGCGTGTTCGTGGACGTGTCGTGGGCGTGTTCATGTGGACGTGTCCCGTATCCTGCCCACCGCTCGATGTTTGACGTGTCGGGTGGCGCGAGACGGTGCGCTTCAAAGAGCGGGAACGCCGCCGTCTTGGCCCACAGCCGCCCCAAAGTGCGCGCGGGGCGGACGTGGGGCGCGGTTTCCGCGGTCGGGCGCACCCCTTCCGGCACCGCGGAAAGCCGGGGCCGGCCGCTCCTTGGGGCTTTGCCCCCGGCTTCCCCGGTTACCATGGTGCCGCCGAACGTAACGAACTTCCTTTGGGCGGGCCCTTTGAAGG